CAACGTGATGATGATTCATTGCTATTATTATTCTTTTTGACACCCAAATTTGACCACTAGTGGCCCTTCCAGGCTAGCTTATATGACTTTTTGAGAGAACCCAATTAGTTCTTCTTTTTCTGGCATAACAAAGTGTGGCAGGGATTATGCTTTTCCTACCCAGATCTGTAATCAGCCATTTCTTTAAGAAGCCCTGCTTCATTTTAGTGGTATTTAGAAACCAAGAGTTGAAACATAGATTTTGATTGGGGAGAAAGGGATTGAGAAAGATAGGTGACCAGTTAGAGAAAGGCATGCCACAAAAAAAAAAAAAAATTTAAAAAGCAGACAGTGTACCAAAGATTCTGAGATGGGAGAATAGAAAATTTATTCAGGAAATTCTCTAGAGGTAAAACTGAATGGATGACATATGAGGTTCCGAAAAGAAGTGTATTATGATATTAGAGCAGGAAGATACATTGAGACCAGATAATGAAAGAATTTAAGTATCCGAATGAGGATCTTTGACTTCCTTCTATATTTAGGATGGTGACTTATGGGTCTTGGAGTTACTGGTCCTGGAAACAGGAAACTCAGTAAGGCTATTGTAGTCCACACAATCTATAATGAAGTCCTGAATCTATGGGTAAGATCATGGTAATCCAGAGGAAGGAACCAAATTCAACAGACACTGCAGCAGAGAAAGCAAAAAAGGGGAGGGGAGCGTGACAGAAGCATGACTAAGAAGCACACAGTGTCAGATGACTCTGAGCTGTCTAACCTAAGCAGCAGAGGCTGGAGATGCCATTAATTGCCATAGAGAACAGAGGAATAGGTGAAGGAGGAAGACAGAGAGATTTTATTTGGAAAAATCCTTGGCAATATGATGACAGAGTATAACCTTATTAAAGTTCCATCTGGTAGAACTGTATTTAGGAAACAGTAGAACAATATTTAGGAAATAAGGTTTTTGTTGTCACTGAAAGGTAACCATAATGAGATTCCCATCTGTGGAAAAGCATACAGATTTGGATATCAGTAGCTCTCTCACGAGTTATTTCAGATTCTTTATTTCAGAGAAATGCATTTCTTGCCTCATTTCCAAATAGAACAAAAAGAATCTCCAAGAATCTGTACTTTTCTTGGCATTTTGTAATTTCTTGTGTTGGTGATTAACCCCTCATAATCTAAGCACCGTCTCCAATTTTATTCACATTTTGGAAAATACGAACATGTTTTATATTTTATTAAGTTAAAAATGTCAGCATGGTTACAGCCTCTAAGTTACTTTTTGTCTTGACCCAGACAAGACAGCCTGATACAGAATAATTTGGTTGCAAACATACTTTCCCCACTTAAGCAGAGACAGCACTACACAGGTTATCTAGTTTTGAGTCAGTATATTCGATTGTTCAAACAAAATTCTCTGGAGAGAAGAAAGACAAGGAGATAACCATATAAACAAAATTGGGATTACCTAATTCCAATTAAATTTGCTGTTCTGAATATAAGCAAAGCAGTAGCATCTGGCACTGTGAAACAGGGAACTGGAATATTCTGATGGATCCAGTTATTAGTGGATGACTGTCTTTAATGTAGGAAACTTGAGCAATGATAACTTAATGTGATTAGGAAGGAATTAAAACAATGTCTAATTTATCACCACCAACAACAGGATATGGCACAAAGCAAGATGTGGGCATTCTAGTCCTAGCCATATTGTAATACCTTGAATGGATCTCTTAAATTTTCTTGGATTATCATTTTCCTCTTCTATAAAATTGAATGGGTCAAGGATCCCCAAGACTACCCTGAGGCTCGGTGATCCACTAGAAGCATTCACAGGACTCAGCAAAGCTTTTATACTCAAGTTATGGTTTATTAAAGATTAAAATCAGCAAAAAGAGAAGTCAAATGGGGGAAGTCTAGAAGAAACTAGGCGTAAGTTTACTTCTCCCACGATAGTCACATGGACACACTCCCAGCAATGATATGTGACAACACTTGCAAAACCAAGCAGCTCACTTGAGCCTTGGTGCCCAGGGTTTTTATTGGGAGCCTGCCACATAGGCAGGAATTACCTCGATAATCCAGGATAATATCCACATCTTAAAATCATTTCATTATTGATCATTCCAGGTCACTTTAGCTAGGTACATAACAAGCCCTTTTGTTAAGTTTTTTGTTTGGTGGTTTTTTCCCGGAAAGTTTTTTGAAATTATAGTTCTAAGTATTGGTTTTCTTCTATTGTTTAGTTTTTCTTCGTCAGAGACCCCAGTTATACATATGTGGGATCATCCTTTCCATCCTTTTTTTTTCTTTATTTCAGTTTCGTTTTCTTGACTTTCTTTAGTGTCTCTTATTGAATTTTTCTTTGAATCTGTTCTCCCTTTCTGAGATGATGTTTCTTTTCCTTGAGTGTATTTCCTAAGCTTTATCAACTGTGGGGCATTTTTGTGTTTTACCTATTTCTGCCGTTAGTGTTTTAATTTCTGACTTTGCATATTTTTAGTATAACCCCAAATGCTTGTTTGAGGCTCCCTAAGTGCAGTTTGGAGGGTTATGTTACAATTGTCTTTTGTTTCATGGTTAGTTTTTTAGTGGAGAATCTATCAGATAAAATGTTTTGATTTACATTTTCTGTTTTCTTCTTCCATTAATTTTATATAAATTAGATTTTTTTCCCTTAATCCCAGCCATTTTGTAGACAAGGTACATCATATGTCAGTATGGTGAAGTGAAATTTTTTAATGGATGATGATAAGGAGGAATTGGTTACATGTCTTTCCTTCTGTCTCTGTAGGGTCCATAATTTCTCTCTCTTTCTTTCCTTATCTTCATCTTTATATCTGAAAGTAGGAACACACTCCCTATTTATCTGATTCTTCTCAGAGCAGTGCTTGTTGAGGCCACTGCCTTCAGAACCACTCACTTTCAAGCCCTTCTCTGTAGCCAGTGCTGTGAGTTACCAAGTCTCAGATTTGTGTTCAGCATTTTGACTTTTTGTAGTAGTTTTTGCTTTCTGGTAGTGCTTTTTGTCTGTCACATGTATGTCTTTCACTCCACTCTCCTCTTTTTCTACCAGTATCTTAATCTTCCATTCTCTGGCTCTCCATATTCACAAGCCTATAGCAGCAGTGAGAGCTCTGTTGAATATGTTGTTAGTTTCTCTATTTAGAGATATTTTGAGGTTGATGGCATCCTCTTATCTCGTGATAATGCTGAAGACATGATTCATGTTTGGTTTTATTTGTATTTCTTGTTGAATTTATTGTTTTGGAGAAAATATGTGTATGAGTTGAGATTTAGAAGACATCATTATCTTCTGTGCTTAAGTTCATTTTAACAATAAAATTTAACCAGTTCACTCTTTAGAATGATTTTTTTTTCTTACAGGGTAGAAAAGGGTGCTTGTAGCCAGCCGTTGACAAAGGCAGGGCAAATCTTAAAAAAGGCAGGACAAATCTTTGGGTTTGTTAACTATAATTTAAATAGTTTTATTAACTTTAAACTGCCTCAGGGAGGCCATCTCCCAAATTAGCTCATCAAGCACCAAAGACATTTTCAGGCAAAATATGTCATGAAACAAATTTTTTTTAATGTATATATATTTATTTATATTTATATTTTTTATATTTTTATTTATTTGTGTGTATATATAATATACACATATGATGTATATATAATATATACACACACAAAATTTAAAAATAAGAGTCTATTATTTATGTACTGTTTTATAGATTTGTTTTACGTACACATTTTTTGCAATTGTATTAGTGTATACAAAATGAAATTGAGTCTTTACTTTCAGAAACAGTGCTTTCTAATCTTTTTGACTTTGGATCATCATTATCAGTGTTTTATTTTTTCCATTCTGCTCTCTTTTCAAAAGCACACTATAGCTCTTTAATACAGAATATGTGGTAATTTTTCAAAAGGAATTACACAAACTAGTATGTACAAGGATAGTCTTCACATTCTTATTTTTAAAAAGATCGAAAGTCCGAAAATATATTAACGTCTGCTACTAAGAGGTTGGTTAGATAAGGGCAGCAATGTAAAAGAATAAAAAAATGGAAATACGTTTGCCCTGTCATTAAATGATAGAGCTAGTTTATAAAATTGCTGTTGCTCCGTTTTTGTTTAAAACATAATTTAAATGTCATTTTCACCTAAATTGTGCACAATTTTTGTCATATCACATTTCTACTTTACTGTCAGTCAATGTTGTTTTAAAATCAACTGTATGATTTTTTTATTTAGCTTTCTTCTAAACAATATTGTGAAAAAAGGCACAAATGTTAATTGTATCTTTTCATGGATATTAGAATAACTTGTTAAGTGTTAATATAGAAAAATTTCATTTTTGTGTGATCTACAGTTGTTCTTCATTCCCTTAGTGGAGTGCATATCAAAGTTAAATTCTCCGAAAGAAAAATGTAGAAGAGTATACGATAAAATTATAGTCATGTAGACATTGCCAGTAATTTTACTTCTTATTCTTTCTGCTTTTCTCTGTTTTTTAATTTTCTAAAATAAATCGGCAATAATTTTGTGCATAATGGAAAAGTATTTTGTGGCTTAGGTTTTATAATCAAGAATCAAAATTAAATATTTTTCTGTAAATCTCTACATTTCTCCATAAATTGATGAAATTGCCAGTCCTGAAATTAAAATAAGTAATAATTTCTTTAAACTTAAGTCTTAAGTTAACATTTTAAATTATTTTAATCTTATTTCAATTAATGTTTTCATTATTCTGGAGATTTTGTGGCTTCCATAGAATCTGAATATAATTGTCTTAAGAAGATTAGCATTTAAATTAATTTTGCTGTGGCTTTTTTCATAGCATGATAATTTCTTAACTGTGATAGGAGTTATTCTCTTCTAAAAATTAAGAATTTGCTTAATATCTCATTTCTTAAAAGCCAAACACGGGAAGAAATTTAACTCAGAATAATAATGACAGTTTAAAATTACACTCATAACTAAAATTATTTTCTTTTATTCTTCTATAGGAATTAAAACCTGATACAGTAACTAAATCTGCTCTTAGTGATGATATCAGCTTTGAAAAAATCTGCAAAAAGGTATATCTACAATGGTTTGTATTTCTTTTGGGAAAAGCTTCTTATATACATTGTTGACTTACTTTTATCTTGTCACTTTTTCCCTTGAAGAGCAAACTAATCAAGAAGTCGGTTACTATTAATATATAATGATTTTTCTGCACTTGTGTTCCAATATTGGCACCAAATAGAATTTTTATGGTAATTTATGAATTTTACATTGCTGTGATAGCATGCCTTCAAGGTCCTTAAAGATGTGTTGAATTTAATGTGGCATTTATGTATTAGATAGCAATTAATCTGTTAATCTTACTAGTTAGAGCAAAGAATCTTTATTTTTATTCTTTTCAAATAATTTTCATGAATATTTTATTTAATCCCTGCATTCACCCTGTGAAAGATTATTTTTACAAATGAGGAAACCAAAGCTCAGGAAGAATGAAATGAGCTGATTAAGGCTGTACCACTGTTACCTGGCGCGGTTAGGACTTTTACCTAGACCTTCTGCTCTTTGGATTTGCCACTCCTGCTTCTTCCTTGCTCTTTCCCCTTCTCATTTCCACCCACTTGGCTGATGGCTGCATAAGACAGTTCCACATGAAAACAGATTTTGCATTGATTGATTTTTCTCTCTTGATTTTCTGTTTTCACTTTCATCAACATTTGCTCTAATTATCTATATTATTTCTTCTTGCATTTGTGTTTACTTTGCTCTTTTTCTAGTTTCTTAATCTGGAAGCTTAAATTAACTACTTTTAGACCTTTCTTTTCTAATGTAAGCATTTAATGCTATAATTTCCCTCTAAGCACTAATTTAGCTCCATCTCATAAATTTGATATGTTGTATTTCCATTTTCTTTGAGTTCAAAATGTTTTAAATTTCCCTTGAAACTTCATTTGACCCATAGTTTAATTAGAACTATGTTGTTTAATTTCTGGACAGAGAGTTTTCCAGGTGTCTTTTTGTTACTGTTTCCTTTATGACTCATGAGCATACTTTTTATGATTTTTATTCTTTTAACTTTGTTGTTTGGGTTCTGGTCCAGAGTATGACTTATCTTGGTGAATATTTCATGTGCACTTGAAAACATATATATTCTCTCGGGATCAGTGTCATACAAATATCAATTAAGGCAAATTGATTGATAGTGTTGTTCAGGTGATTTATAATCTTTACTGATTTTCTGCCTACCTGTTTTATCGATCACTAAGAGAGGTGTGTTGAAATCTCCAACTATCAATGCCAGTTTACCTATTCCAGCCTTAAGGGAAAAATATTCTGATTCTACATTTACGTAGACTAACACTTCTCTACAATTGATGGATTTTAGACATGTTAAATTTTAAAGCATTTTATCCTAAGAAGGCCAGAATATGAAAGGTTTTTGTTTGTTTGAGGGGAGGGAAGATTTGTTGTCGTCGTCATCATCCTTGTCAGAAAAACAACACCAAAGTCATAAACATGACTTTACAGCAGCCTGTTTTATACTAGCATAGTTCTACAGTAAATATTCGTGTTTCATAGAATTCACTCATAAAGAGAGGGAAAAAGTTTAGCCCTATTATAGTTTTAAACTTGTGGTGTGGTCAGTATCTCAGACAAAATAATGACATGTTAAATGGAATATTGGTAATTGTATAAAAATATGGCAGAATATATTCTTGTTTTCTCTTGAGAGTTTAGAAAAATGATAATTTAAGATTTTTACCAGAATAAATATTTTGAACTATGTTGCAGCTAAATTCTAGAATTAATTCATTAATGTTTAATCTGTGGTAAAAGTAAAAAGCAGTTTATTTTTAGTTCCCTAATAATACTATGTTTCCATTTAAACTCTAAGAGTTTAAAACTTGGCAATATTTATTCCTTAATTTTAACTTGAAATTCTCCAAAATAAAATATCCCGTGTCTGGTTTTTTTTTTTTTATCTTCTCAGCTAGTTTGTTTTCACTTTAGAGGGTTAATATTAGTTACTGTATGTGTAATGTATATCAAATCAGTTTTTTAGGGTACGTAAAATAAGTTTTGTAGAGTATCTTCTTCCATTTACAACCCTCTGTTCAGCCTTCCAGGGTGTGAAATGTCATTTATCCTAAAAATGGGGAAACAAGTGTATATATTAGCTTATGGTTATTTTGTAATAGTAAATTCATTTTGCATATGACTAGATTTGTAGTCATGGGATGTATAATAGTAATTCATATAGAAAGTTTAGGGACCGGCCCTGTGGTAGAGTGGTTAAGTTTGTGTACCTGCCTTGGCGGCCGGGGTTTTGCTGGTTTGGATCCTGGGTGTGGACCTAGAACCACTCATCAAGCCATGGTGAGGTGGCGTCCCACATAGCAGAACTAGAAGGACCTACAACAAGAATATACAGCTATATAGTGGGGGGTTTTGGGGAGAAGGAGAGGAAAAAAGATGGGCTACAGATGTTAGCTCAGGGCCAATCTTTAAAAAAAAAAAAGAAAGAAAAAGAAAAAGGAAGTTTAGGATCTGACCGAAATATTGTCAAGTGAAATCTGATTACATTTCTGCCCTTTTTGTACCTTCCTCCAAACAATGAAGGAAAAGAAGGTAGAGAGGGAGGAAGGGAAAACAATTTTGTTTCATCAGAGTTCTTGATGGAACCCTTGAGGGGTATAAAGCCCAGCGAAATTGCTCTGCTTAAGAATCCTTTCATATTCCTCTCATATTCCTCCCAGGCTATTTGATTTAAGCTATTTTGTTACTATTTTATTTGATTTGTGATATTCTTCAATTGCGTTTAGGTTCTTCTGTATCAAAATATCAAAATCTGTTAATAAATTAAACATCTAAAAACAAAATGAGGCAGGCAGCAGAGTGTCCTAGAAGGAGGTCTGATTATTCTTTAGTTTGTCCTAGGAAGGGAGGTCAGTGGATAATCACCAAATAGGAAATAAGTCTGTTACGTAAAGCTCGGCACATTTGAGGCTGTCTGACCATCAGAATAGAAGAACAAATTAATTTGTGTAACATCTTACAGCTTGCACAATTCTCCCGTATACATTCCATCTCGATTGATCTTACAATAATGATCTCATGTAGAAAGCATTCATATGTGCAAAAGAGAGTTATTTTATTTTATTTTTACTTTTTTTTGAGGAAGATTAACCCTGAGCTAACTAATGCCAACCCTCCTCTTTTTGCTGAGGAAGACTGGCCCTGAGCTAACATCCATGCCCATCTTCTTCTACTTTATACGTGGGATGCCTACCACAGCATGGCTTTTGCCAAGGGGTGACATATCTGCACCAGGGATCCCAACCAGCGAACCCTGGGCCGAGAAGCAGAACATGTGCACTTAACTGCTGCGCCACCGGGCCGGCCCCCAGAAGAGAGTTATTTTAAACTACAGGATGAGAGGAAGCAAATTAATATGTGTTAACATCTACCAGTTGCCTGACTCATTAGGTGCTTTATATGTAGCTTTCTCAGGGAAGATAATGATAACCCCATTTAACAGATGAGACAACCAGCCCAGAAAGGTCAAAAATATACCTCTATTCAGTCAGTAGGAAATGGCAGGTCCAAGGTCTAACCCAGGTCTCTGCTACAAAACGAAAGTTTAGGACAAGAGAATAGAATAAGTCCCATATATGTCAGTCTGTGTTTTAGAATCATGCCATCATAGGGATTGTGAGTTCAATGAATGCAGAAATTTCTCCTGTTCCCTTAATGTGGACTCTAGGCCTTAGTTTGCCACAATTCTTCTGATCCAGCTCAATGGACTGTTTCTTATCATCTCCCTAAATGTTTTTAATAGATACAAATGTTAATGTGTTTATATCTTTAGGTAGAAGCTAGAATTGAAATTAAGTCCAATTTAAAATTAAAAGTATTGCTACTAGCATTCCACCTCTACTAGTTCTGGCATTTAGAATTAGTCCGTTTGTTTTAAGCAACATTTCAAAGGAAGGAACATTGCATGTAAAAGAGCTTTTTCATTTTTAGACAGTTGTTTATATTCACATGTACATTCTTAAAATTCTTTTCAAAATTGAACACCAAATACTTTCTGTTCACAATAAACACCCATATGCCAAAATAAAATTTTTCCATTAAAAGATGAGGTGTTTTTCTTTTTTTATTTAATTTATTTGAAATGGAAGAAACTGGAGGTGTGTGAAAACCACAGTTTCCTGAGAATTTTCCATGGCAAACACTATGTCACCTTTAAATAAGGAAAGCTATGGTTTTCTTCATTCTCCCCAATATTGTGAAGACTTTTTCACGCAGGTGTACAAACTCTTTGTTTACAGAGACTACTTAGCCTTTTAAGCTTCAAAATAAATTTCTTTAAATTTCAGCTGTATGACTGTATTTGAAATCCTGTTATCCTCCATAACATTTTCTCTCTCTCCTGTGAAGTTTATCAGATTCTGTCTTAAATTAGTTATGTGTGCATTTGTCTTAACCTTTTAAATTAGAACAAAGTTGTGAGCCTCAAAAAGTTGGTGTTCATGTCCTCATGTTTAAGACCATGCCTTCGTAAACAAGGCCTGTTTCTGTAAAAATAAATATAGATATCAGTAAATATAAGGAGAGCGAGAGAAAGTGAGAAAGGAAGAAGGACAGGAAACAAATAAGGAGAGGTAAAGGATTTAAAGTGTCAAAGCAGGGGCTGCCCTACGTATTAAATACTCCTGAGTTCTTACACCCTGCCCAGTGCCTTAAGCCAAATGTAGACATCTCAAATGGCAGCAGAGACCCAAAACACTGCCCAAGGGGTGAACCTGAGCCCTCTAGCTTCACAAACCTCTTTTTTTACATTTATATTTAATTTCTTTCCAAAAAGATTTGAAGGGGATTTGGAGTTGGGTCACAAAATGAGAGAAAGTTATCTCAAATACTTTAGAAGAAAACTTGTTGAGAATACTAGACAGAATTCAGAAACCTGACTTTGAGTTCTAGCTTGTTCCTAACTGGCTAGGTAATCTTGAAGTCAAGACTGTTAATCTAATTGTTAGATAAAATCTTTAGTCTGTGTTCCCTTTACTTC